AGGCTGGGACGGCCTGGGAAGAAGCCTGTCTTAGCTGATTGCTGAGGGGAGCTGGGGGTGGAGAGCGGGCTAGTGAAGCGTCCAGGCTCCCAAAGAGCCAGAGGAGATTTCCCCTCCCCACCGCACAGCCTGGCCACCTGTGCCACCTGGGGTCCTAGAGTCTAGAACTCCTGGTCCTTTCCAGCCCTTGGAGGCCGGCCGGGCTGGATCTCGGGCCCACCAGCGTTGGTGGCCACATCCCCTCCTCCAGCCCCTCTCCCCAGCCCCTTCCTCCAGTCCCTTCCTTTAGAGGAAGCTGCCCCTTGCCCTGAAGTGATTGGCTGGAGCCGTGTTAAGTGTCTCGAGTAGGAGATCAGGAATCTCTGAGTGAGAGGAATGTTGACTGGCGGCTGGCCATGCCTTCCACACCCAGGGCCCCTTGCGGACAGGGAGGCGGAGAGACCAGCAAAGGGGACCCCATCCCCCAGGCCACAGGTGACCTTGGGAAGATGAGCAAGTGCTGGGCAATCCAACCTGGAGAAGGAGAATTCCAGGCCGCAGGCCTAAGGTCCCACACCCAGCAGGCTTCCCTCACAGCTGGCCCCCTGCCCTGACCACCAGCCCTGCCCGCAGGGGACACACCACAGAAAGGAATTCCCGCTCACCTGGAAGGGTCACCGTGACCAGGAAGGACCAAGAGAACACGCCAGGACGGGTGGGGAGGAAGGAGGAGGCCCACGAGAAAAATGCCCTCAGAGGTGCAGGGGCCCAGCCTCTCGTAGAAGCGTCCCCACTGCTGCCGGTCAGCACACACGTTGACTGGGGACAGCGGGGCGCAGCACATGGAAGCAGAGTGAGGTTCCTTCTCCCTCTGGCCTCCAGCCGTGGACCCGCTCGGGCCTTCTCCCCAACCACACCAACGCCGCCCGCCTCTTCACTGAGCTGCCCTCCATCACTTGACCCCCAAGACTCATCACCACTCTGACAGTGTCCCCTCCCCTTGGTTAGAGGCATGAGTCCCACCGCTGCCCTGTGATCTGGGACGGTCTCCCCAATATCCCCCCAAACTGAGACCATGTGGACAGTGTACTTCATGTGCTCCTAGCACCTGGGCCAGCAGCCTCTGAGTGTGGCCTTGGTGGGGACACGTGCCTCTCAGCTCCCCTAGGCCCTTGCTTTCTGTCTGGAGGGTCAGGGCACCCCTGCCCTTCCTGGGGAGATGTGCCTGTGAGCTCCTCAACTCCAAGTGAGTGACCAGTGGGTATGCAGCTGACCCCACCTCTGGGCTTCAGAGCTTGGCCTTGCAGCTTCCTGCACTTCTCTGTGGTGAAGTTATGTCCCTGGAAGCCAGCGAGGAAGGTTCAGCTCTGGTCCCGTGCCTCCTGCCCCTGGCCCTCTGCCCTCCACCATGGTGTTTTTCAGTGGGGGCACCTTCCTGAGTATCCTTGGGGAGACCCTGCAGCCAGGCACTAACCATACTTTAACCCACCAAGTCAAGGTTTCCTCCAGGTAGGAAATGATTCTGTCACAGCCCCATGGCTGAGGGGACCTTGGAATGTGTAGCGCTGGCATTGACCGTGACTTCCGGGAAGCCACCAGCCACTCTGCTCTGTGACCACCCTCACGTAGCCTTCCAGCACCTTCCTGCCCCCGCCAAGGCCCTGCTTAGACCCCACAGGGTCACAGCCTGTACCCCTGTGACCGCAAGAGAATCCAGCTTAGCGGGAGGATATACTGGGGTGCCCTCTCCACCATGAACGCGTCATCACCTGTACTGGGGCCACTCCGAACTGGGGTTCCCATCCTCCCTTGGCCAGGAATGAGCTTCTTATGGATTGTGGGGTTTTAAACAACAGAAAATGATATAGGTGTGCATATGTCCCCACATCACATTTGTCCCAGAGTCACGGCGGCTCCCGAGAGGACCTGCATACAGAGCAGAGGTGGAGCTGGACTCAGCTGCCACGGCCAGTGTGGGACGTCTCGTGTGTCCTCTGCTCTCCCCTGGGTGTGCTCCAGGCGCCCATGCACTCACACTCATACACACTCACACACACACACACACACACACACACACACACACACTCTCTCTCTCTCTCTCTCTCTCTCTCTCTTTCCTCTCAGGTTTTGTTATGACCACACTGACCCCTGCAGCAGGGGCCAAGAGCCTGGTCCAGCCTGGTCCACTCAGGGACCCAGCTCTTCCGCTTGACCGTCACGCACACAGCACCCGCCTGGGACCTGGTGGCCTCCGGTCCTCACTGCAGCAGATTATGACTCAGCAGCATTCCAAACCCTCTGAGATTAAATGTCCGAGAGGCCCTAACTGCGCTTCCTTGTCCGCACAATGGCTCCTATTGATGAGCCCAGAAAATAAAAGCAGGCTGAGGAATTGTCCACTAACTGCTGCCCGGGCCTCCAGGTCCTCCTGTGCCAGGGGTCTGCTTCTTCCCCACTGCCCAGGCTTCCAGGTCCTCCTGTAGTAG